GCCTTCTGATTAGCAGTCAAGTGCCTTAGGCACTACACTATCAGAGCTCCCATGTTGTTGTTGTTATGTGCCGTCGAGTCGGCCCCGACTCGTAGTGACCCCTCCTTGGGTTTCCGAGGCAGTATCACTACGGAAGTAGGATTGCCCAACCTTCCTTCCGAGGAGTGGCTGGTGGGTTACTTTAATATGCTATTTTCCATGAAAGAACTGGAAAGAAACTCAACAAAGATGCAGAAGAACTAAAGAATTGGAAAAATAAATAAATAAAGACTGATGAGGCACATGGCTGCGAGGGAATGGATTGTCTCATTTGTCCTCTAGCAATTCTGTAAGGCAGGACAGACCCTGCTGTCTGCATTCTACACTTAAGAACACTGCATCTTGAGAGGTTAAATGCCAGGAAGAAGAGGACCTCAGACTCACCTGGCTTCTTGGCTCTGAATCTTTTTTTCTGGGCACACTGCCATTGTTAGCAGAGTCTTGTAAAAGCTACCTGCAGCTAGGCAGTGGGTGGATGTTGACAGGAGTGATATGAAGCGAATGGTCATTGATACAATCTCGTTGAAAGAGTGCAGCACTGGGATTTTGTGGCCTGTGGTGTTCAGTCTTCTGACCTCTATGCCCACGCACAGGACAGCAAGAAGCAATGGGAAGCATTGAGCTTCAGGCTCTACATTACCTTGACAAAATCCATTCATCACTGTCTCACTCATTAATTCAGAGCAGCATCTGCTGTTGGATACTGGCATTTGTCAGTGACTTGTTTCCGGAAGCTCCTGGTCCTCAAGGTTGATCAGTCTTGCAGTCACCAGCCTCAGGGTTAACTCTGGCAGCCAGAGGCAGGCCCTCCCTCTGCATTTTATAAAATGAAATCACTTTATTTTTGGAAAGTAAAGATAGCATGATGTAGAACTGAAGAGCACTAACTTAGAGGTCAGTTAGATCTGGGCTTTATGGTTTTAGGGGTGCCATTTAACTAGCTATGAAAGTTATTTATCTCTGTGAACTTTAGTTTCCTTCTCTCTCAAATGAGCACAGTCAAAACTACCTGAGGAGATTATTGTGATGATTTAAACGTGGTGATATTTATTTTGGAATATTTATAAAGCGCCCTCGTATGATAACTGGCACATAAGAGTCCTTAACGTATGGTAGTTTTAATTCCCGCTATTGTCACTGCTAACACCACAGTTAACCTGGACAAGGGAGAACAGAAGAAGAGTCTTATAATCCTACCTTCATAATGCAGCTACCCTGTATGTTTTTATGGCATGTTTCTCATTCCTACTTTATTACAGCCATTAAAAGGTTAGGTCTGCAGGCCTTTACCATAGACTAGGAGTTTGGGGGGACGCTGGGACTGTGCCTTACTCTTGATATTCCTAATATCTAACATAGTAATAGGCAATTAGTGAATACTTAGTAATAATGACAATTACGATAATATTGAATACCACATGTAGGCACCTAACTGAACTTTAGTTTCCCTCATCCATATATGGGTACAGTAATAATTCCCTTGGAAATGTGTAATGAGGATTAAATGAGCTAACAGTTATATAAGTAACTATCTGGCACAAAACATTGAAGGTGCTTAACAATTTTAGGTTCCCTTCCCCAGAAGCTCATGTTTGAAAATTTGCTGTTAAACTTGATTCTTCTCCAGAAGTATTTGTTCCTGTTCTTTCTCCATTTATAATAAAGCTTTTGGGTTTTGTTTATTTATTTTTATTTCTTATTTGCAATGCCAGCCTGTTTCATCAATACTGACACATATATCTGTCCACCTTTGGGTGTAAGTTACAAAGTAAGAACAGTTCACCAGTGATGGATCCCCACGGGTGTAGGGGCACACACTGGACCACCTTTGTCCCCCCTCAGAGGATCTATCTCCAGAACATTCCTCTGCTCACATCTTTAAGGGGTGAGAGGGGGGTCAGTATAGATTTTATCTTTTTGGGAATCTGCTATTTTAACTGCTAAGAACCTTTGAACATTACTTCTAAGTGCTTTTCATTGGGGAAGAGTCAGAAGTTGTAACATCAAGAAAGGAATTTTTGGGAGAATCAGAGTGCATTCTTAATCTTGACACTGACTTGCTTTGATACCTGAGGCGAGTTGTTTCCCCTCTCTGGGCCTCACTTTTCCCTTTGTACTGTGGAGCAGTTACACTCCACGGTCTCCAGAGGCTGTTCCAGCATGGACATTCCACGAGTACCTGCAGCCTTCCTCTTGCCTGGAGCTAAAGTGAGCATACGTCTCACATGATGCTTCTCTAGAGTTCTTTTTCACTAGTACTCAGGGACCCCTTTGTGCTTTTATGTTCCCAGTCACTTCCTCCTGGTAGCAGCTGGGAAATGTGGAGACTGAAAGGCAAAAAGTGTCTCTCACTGAGTGGAAACACTGGATTCAGAACCCCAAACAAGTGTCTTTTATGTGTTAGGTATTTGTTCTTCTATGCACTTTGGTCTTTCATTCATTCTCTCATTTAGCAGATATTAACTGAGTCTTAGGCCTTGTGCAATCCATCTATGCAATACAGAATGGGACTGAATCCTGTTCTCAAGACATATGCTCACTAGTGGGTTAAGAAGCAGCAAGATAGTTGATAGTAAAAAGACTGCCTGAGTCTACACAGACAACAGGGAAGGAGTCTCAATGAATACTTGGAATTGAGATTTTAAAGGATGAACAGAAGTTTCCTAGGTTGGCAGTTGAGAAAAGGGCATTTTGGGCAGAGGAAAAGCATATGCAAAGGCCCAGCAATGCAAGAGAACGTGTGATGTGTGAGAAAACATGCCATGCTGAGAACGTGTAGCTGAGGGTGAATGGTAGGAGGGAGAGTGGACAGATGAGGAAAAGGCAAGCGTTTCTCCTTGGATGAGTCTGTTTCCACTGAATTCTTTGCTCACTTTCATCAATCCAGATGAGAGTGATGATCTTTTCAGTTCAGCTTCCAAAAACTTCTATCTTTCTTAGATAAAAAAGGATTAAAACAAAGAAATCTCTCCTGGTCTCACTGCCTAAAGATAACTACTTTAACATCTTGGTGTATTTCCATTCAGTTCTTTTTCACCTTTTCTTTCTACACAGTTGTGAATGTATTGTAATTATAGTCTTCACCTCTCTATATCCTACTCCTTACCACTTGTTTTCTAAAATTCTCCAAAAATACATGTCATTAGAAAACAACTACAATCATAAAATATACTGGTTGAAATATCACTCCTTTTAAAAATTTATCTAATACAACTAATTCTGTTTCTTTTTACAGGTCTCTTGTGGCTCAGAGCATAATCTGGCAGTGATTGGTAAGTAGTTTTTATAGTGAGAACTGTGTTCATTCTGAAACACAGATTCTGAAACAAATTCTGAGGCAGAATTGGAGAAGGCTGTTGGTAGCCAGCTGTGTATGTGTTGGGGGATAGGGAGAGGGCCAGGGAAAGTTTTGGGAAATGGAAGTGTTTGGTTGACCAAGGATTTACTAGAAACTCCTTTTTAAAAATTTTAATCCATATCATAGAGCATCTTTTTAAGGTCTTGACCTCCCTGCCTCAGGACGTAGCATTTGAGGACACTAAAGACCTCATAGGCCACGTGCATCTTGGGCGTTAAGCCAGACATAAAAGGAGGAGTGAATTGAGCTGTTTCTTATTCTTTGAATAATTCTCTTATACCAAGTTATTTTCCCTTGACGTGGCTCACTCATTGGAAATGTGGAACTCTGCTCACTGCCCTCATTGCATTGTATCTTTTGGCAATTCTGGAACTTCCAGTTAAAGCCACACCTTTGGTTCATTGACACTTCTGCTGGATAACCAAGGTTCATAGTTGTTATGATCAGGACTATAAGTAATTCCTTCAAGAAGCCTTCTCCACACTTCCACAGATAGACTTGGTCTCCATTTCATAGTACATTTAAAGAAGCCATCT